GGCATTTTTTGAATGGAATTTATGAATGTACTTTTGGGGGGGGTTCATTTGCTATAAGAATGCCCTACCTAGAAAGGGAGGTATCGCTAATTAATTGAAGGACCTTGTTTGTCAACTCATTTTTATGACTATTTTAGTTCATTTATCTGTAACTGTTAATCTACTCTGTGTGAATGAAATCTGGACCTGAAGAAGTAAATCTTAGATTTGGGGGAAGAACATTAGCCAGTATTTTTAGATACTCCTGCTTGTGAAGAAATCTTTGTTATTAATCAGTGATCTTCTTTGATTATGGACATTCACTGAGAACTCTGATCACAAATTTGCACATAGTTAAACTTAAGCATTGTCTCAGAAGAAACATAGTTTTCCTGCCTTTAAGTTTTTTATTTTTTTGATACAGCAGGTTGTACCAATCACTAATGAAATTATTTCACAAAAATTGCTGTACTTACATAGATTTAAATGTCACAAACAAGTTATATGTTACAAAACAGGTCACATCTTATAAAAACAGATTACATGTGACAAAACAATTACATGTGACAAAACAATTACATGTGACAAAACAATTACATGTTACAAAACAATTACATGTTACAAAACAGAAATAAAAAAACAGTTTAATGAAAGGTAATATTTTGGGGCTATGTCAGTATAAGAATAATTAAGGCCTTTGCTATTTACTACCTAAATAATTTGGTTTTAAAAGTTAGACTCAACAGATTTGTCACTTCAGAGCTGTTTTAATTGATTTTCAACTAATACCCACTTTATCATATTTTTTAAAAATTAAAGTAACATTGATTTTATTTTTAATTTTTAATATATATTTTAAATTGTTCATTTTAATAAAGTGTTTGATTTCCTTCTCTTAAGTGTAATCTCCATAAAATTCCCACCATCAAGTTATCCATGAACTGTCACCATAGTCTCTTTTGCTCTTAACTTCTCCTGTTCTGATCCCTCTTTTCCCTGCCCTGCTGTATGTCTCTGATTATAGTTTGCCTGCTGATTTTAACTCCATCCCATCCCTTGTTTTGTTTCCCTGTATACCTCCTATAAGTAAGACCACTGGATATTTTTCTTTTTTAACTTCACTGAACATAATCTTTTCCCAATTCCATCCATGTTGCTGTGAATTGCATGAATTTATCTTTAAGTGCTGAATAGGATTCCATTGTGTGTATATACCACATCTTCCTGGTCTAGTCATCTGTTTTTTTTTGGCATTTAGGTTGTTTCCATAGCTTAGCTATTGTAAATAGATCTGCAATGAATGTAGAAGCACGGTTTCCTTTTGAATTAATGTTTTTGTGTCCTTGGGTATATTTCCTAGGAGTAGAATTGTCGGGTTATATATTAGAGTTACTTTTAGTAGTTTGAGGGTCCTCTACACATCTTTCATAATAGTTGGGCCAGTTTGCATTCCCAATAGTAATGTAAAAGGCTTCCTTGCAGTCTTAGTCGTTCGCTTTTTTTTTTTAATGAATAATATAATAGTTTATTTTTACATCATTTTGTGCATTTTCCCATCTCAGTTGTAATCCCCTTGGGCTTTCCATAGTTGTTTTTTTTTTTTTTTTTCAATGTGGGTCATTCTTACTGGTGTAAGGTGATACCTGTGGTTTTGGTTTGTATTTTTCTGATTATGTGATGTTGAATATTTTTTCATGTGCCTGTTGGCTATCTGCATTTTCTCTTTGAAGAAGTGTCTTTTTAGCTCTTCTGTTCAATTTTTGACTGGATTCTTTGTTTTCGCTGAGTTGTGTAAGCTCTTTGTAATCTTTGATATCAGTTCCTTATCAGTTATGTGTAGTTCAGATATTTTCTCCCAATCTGTAGTGTGTCGATTCATCTTGGTTATTTTCTCTTGCTGTAGAGAAGCTTTTCAGTTTGAGATAGTCCCAGCAGTTTATCTTTTCTTTCATTTTCTGTGCTTTGGGGGATGAGTCTTTAAAGATGTTTCTGAGATGTATAAGGTAAAACTGATTTTAAACACTGTGTGTGACTTAGAGATAGAGGTTCATTCCACTTGAGATCATTTTATCATTTTTCAACCTCTCTACATTTCTCTCTCATTCCAGGCTAATTAAGTATCTTTAAGACCACTTTGCTAGTGTGTTTTTGAGAGGGGGGGTGGAGAGAGAGAATGTGTATGTGTATGTGTGTGTGTACAAAGACATAACTGAATGCTGGTTTCAGTTTTCCTTAGCCAATAAAAGGAAACAGTTTGAGAAGGAAAGAATTTAATTTGCTGACAAATTGAGGTGGGCAGCAGACTCTGAATGACCACTGTTCTGCTTTTTGTCAGAGGGCAGGGGTAGTATCCAAAGTTACAAGGGAGCGGAAGGGGAGAAGTAAGCAAGAGTGAGTATGTCTATCCTTGTGATGCAGGCATCTAGAGATTTTGGGGGAGATTCATGTTGGTGCCAGCTTGCTTTGTCATCACCTGGTGATCAGCAATTTCAATGCTATCTTCTTAGGGAAGTTCTTTTCCCCTTGGAAAGCAAGAAGACAAGGTCATTAAATTCACAGGGTCTGGTGGGACAGGAAGGGGGAGACATGTCCTTTTATCACAATCCTATTCCTGTTTCATATGTATTGTTTTCCCATTACCTGTGATTCAAATACTTTTAACTTCCATACAGTTAGTGAGATCTGGTTTGTAATCCCAGCATCACCACTTAATGTGTAATTAATTCA